GGCTAGAGGAGCCCCCTCCCACGTCCCGGTGGTGGTGGTGGTGGCGGCAGGCAGGCAGGCAGGCAGGCAGGCAGAAGAGGAGGTAGGCATTTAGATGAAATGGATCACAGCTCTGTCCTATGAGGGGACTTTCTCTGGCATTAGAGGTTGTTTAGAGCTGGCAGTGAGTTGATAGGATGACTGTCACAACAAACCATTATTGACGTATGTTCAGGTAAATATAAAAGATCACCTATAATAGAAAAAATGAGTTTTTTGGGGGATGAAAGAAAATATCAGGAAAGGTTATGTGGATCGACCATCTCTTTGATGACTTTAGCTCTGTGAAACTGACTAGTATCCACCTTGGTCATCAAATCTACCCTACGTGGGTAGAAAATGATATGAAAAGTGAGAGCAGGCAAGTAGGAACCAGAGGTCGTAGGGATTATGGCCAGTTGCTTCCTGGGATTGAACCCAGCGGAGGATAATTTCCTGATTATAACTGAAGACTTGTATTGCCAAGTTAGCCCTTCAAACCTCTGCACTTCTCAAATGTCGATGGTTTGAATGTAGCGGCCCTGATGGTTTCCTGTATATTCACTATTAGAAAGATATTCATGTTTCTAAAGAGTCCCCCGTGGAAATGGTTTCAGGTGGGCCATTATCTTGATAGTCCATAATTGGCCTTAATAAGCTGCTAGTTTGGCTGACTCAGGTCAGGCCTCTATGTTGGCTGGTTCGTGTTCAGTGACCCTGTTCCAAAAGTACATTGTTAGAAAGCCCATTATGAACACTGCACACACTCGGGAGAAGTGGCAGTTTTGCAGATTGATGGTGCGATGTTGCCACTTTAGAGAAAAGGATCCATGAATTATTGACATAATGAGTTAATGTTGCTTGATTCTCCAATGAGGCTGGTGCTATTTAATGGCATTTTCAAGGTCCTTCTGAGGGAAGGAGAAAACAATAAGAGTCTTACTTCACCTTGGGCAGATGCAAGTTTTCAAATGTTTGATAAGCAAGAAATGTATTTCTTTTTACTAAATGTATTTCTAATGGAATGTAGCAGGGGAGGAGCTTGTAAAAATGTAGTATAAACACAAAAGTTGTTTATTTTTTTTCAAAAAGCCTAACTACTAACTGCTGCCAGAGGCAAAGCCCTTGGCGGATTTAAATCAACTCTGCAGGCCAGTTTACTCTGTAGAATGTGCCTAAGGAGGAAACTTCATCTCCACTGAGTAGTTTGCACCCGATGAGCTGCAGGTCTCCTGCAGGGGATGGAAGGTGGTGGCTATTCATGGCCTTGTAATCTCCTGGATTACTGAAATTCACTTTATACAGGGGTGAAGGGGTACCCTTGAGGGGCACCCTTGAAGACTATGCAGCCAACTATGCAGACTATGAAACTTAAAACAGTTGCAATATATAGTAACTCTTGTGTTTGCAGTATACTTTCAATGCTATAACACCACGATGGCAAACCTATGACATGCGTGCCACAGGTGGCACACAGAGCCATATTTGCTGGTATGCCAATTGTCGGCTCCAGCGCACATGTGCACACTGGCTGATTTTCAGCCTTCTGGAGGGCCGGGGGGGGGGGACTGTTTTCACTCTCCCCAGGCTTCAGAAAAGCCTTCAGAGGCTGGGGAGGATGAAAAACAGCCCCAATGAGCCAACCGGAAGTTCATTCCCAAACTTACATCAAGAATCCTATAAGTTTCAAAAAGGCAGGCAGCTCCTTCTATGCAAAGAGAAATCTGGGCAGCTTCTTGGAACTGTCTGAACTCAGAAACTTAACCTAAGTGTCTTGAGCTGAGCTTTTCAGGCAGCTATTTTTCTTTTTGAGAACTGTCTTGAGTGGAACCCCTCATTGCTGCTTTAGTTCCCCCCCCCTTAAATCCACACTCCCGCAGGGGAAACAACAAGTGTCTGGGGGATGCCCTCCCCTGTGATCGCAGCCTTCCAGGGCTGAATTCCTATAGATCTGTCTTTTGGCTCATGCTAGTGCCACTTAGCAGACTTGCAATGACAGTTGTTAAAATGAATTCAAATGAATTAATAATGGTTACCTAATTATTCACGAGTTTCATCGCACTTTAGAAGCCATTTCACAGTGTTGCTGAGGGATAATGACCTCACTTATTTCCTATTGTAAATCAGCTGAGGGGGGGAGGGGAAGAGGGGAAGGAAAAGCCAGCCTGAAAAGTGGGCTTTATACCCTAATTAGCAAATCACACCAAATGGTGATTATAACGGAACTTCAGTTCTGAACTTCTTGCATGCTAAAAAGTCTTCTCCACGGCATCCTCTTTGTGTTTTGTCAACCAAGCTGAGATGATCTCTTCAGTGAGAAGACAAGACAGTTCCTGTTTTTCCACATATCATCCTAAACATTAGCAGAATTAGCAGAAATGACATAAACTTAGACTGCAAGCAGGGCAAATAAAAAAAAAACGAGCAATAATTCATCAAGGAGTGTCTTTTCAGCAGGTTGACGTGACCCTTTGACACCTCCAAAGAGGGCAGGTGGGAGGCCTGTAGTACCCCCGTCCTCACTGAATCCTGCAGAGTACCAAGAGACGGGAGTCCTCCAGGCAGCAGTGCCTCTTCTGGGTAGCCATAGAAGCCAGAGGGTCAGCTGCCAGTTCATGCTTGGCTGTGCTTGGTGACCATGCAGTGACAGTCTGCCATGGACTCTGGGGAGGATGGAGGGGAGCGGGGATGCATGTGGGAATTTTGCTTGAACCTGATTGATATGGAGGGGTCAGCAATGGGAAGCAGTTAAGGAAAGGAAAAGTTAAACTTAAGGATTTTGGCGTGCAATATTCAGTTCTGGCTATGCAGTACTGCAATGCACTTGACTTCTTATAAAACTATACATTTCTCAACGAATAGAGACAAGGATCATTTCTATTTAGAAGTTTTAATTTGTGGCAGGTCTGACACAGATTGCTACCATCGTTAAAATTATTCCAATCCACAAAGGACCCTACTTATACCAGATTGAAACATTTTTTACAGTGGGAAAATGGGGAAAATGATTTATTTTACATAGAAAAGCAGAGGCCAAAAGATCTCCAGATTAAAAGCAATCAAAACCTCTTTAAATATTTTTCTTTTTCCATTTGCAGGCATCAGAAGTTTATGATGTGCACACCAAATAAACCTCTTCCCCCATAAGTGATATTATTTGGTTCAAGGAAACCACTCTATGAAAGTGGCCTTTGACTTGACAAGAAATTTCTTAATTCCATCGACCTGCCATCATATCTTTCGGCCTTCTGCCATAAAGAGCTTGCTGCCCATCTTGCTGTCAAAGGTTATCGGGCTGATGCATGTCTGCTCCACAGGGATGTGGCTCTGGTGACCTTTGGGTTTGGAGATAGCCACTCAGGGTGACAACATGAGAGTGTGAGGGTTAAGCAGTTCTCATCCAATTGAGGCAAGGGAAGGTTGTGAGCTTTACAGACAGCAGTATGACCTTCTAGGAAACGCCATCTGACCCTATCAGCAAGATATTGAAGAGAATATCTTATTTCAACTTATACCATCTTTTATTTAAACCTTAGCTGGGTGTTTCCCAGCATTCATTGAGGCCTAGTGAAATCTGCAGTGAAAAATATCTAAGGTATGTAGTTTCCTATAGTCAGACAGTATCTTCCTATTGAAGATAAAAATAGCATGGGTTATTTACCAT